TAGGAATTTCACTCGGAAATAGTTCTCATCAAAACATTTCTCATAGATGTTTTTTTAACATCATTTACATTCCTTATTATACTTTTACATTATCAAACTTTCATTAAATTTTTTTAATAATGGGTAACGATATTTCTACGAAAAAAAATACAGTTATGAGTGATAAATGTTCCAACCTAAATAAATCGAATAAACCAAATTTTCAAGAATATACAAAAGCGCATACTGGATTTCCGTCAATTGATTACAATTTAGATAAAGAATATCATAATGTCAATTATTATATCCATTAGTCGCAATTTTTTGTTATTAAGATTGGAATGTTATATTAATTACATTCTTATATTAATACTAATTATTAGAATGAAGTTATTTTAAAAATTTGGGGCGCAAATTTTTTTTCACCAATTGAATCTATTCTAAAAAATGGTGACGCCAAAGTTCTTGATGTTGGGTAAGTTTTGTTCGTACGATTATTTTATTCGCAAATATCTTACAAATTTTTTTTCACAAAAGTTGTGGGTTTGGCACATGGATTTGTGATATGGTATTATTTTTTCTTTTTATTTATAATTAATTAAATATTGTTTATAGATTAAAAAAATTTTTTTAACCATTAACTGCTTAATTTAAAGGCAAAAAGCTATCCTCTTTCACAATTTACAGGAATTGATCTCATAAACCGAATAGACGTTATGCCTTCAAATGTCTGCATTACACAAGCTGATGTTTTAAAAGGATTACAATATCTTGATTGTTCTTTTGATTATATTCACATCAGAGATTTGTTATGGTCTATTTCATCAAAAGATGCACAGACTAAATTATTTCCAGGTAAGAAATAAAGCATTTTAAACAATAATACAATTGATGATGCTGAGATTAGCTAATACGGCAATTTAGTGTTCTATTTAGTTTAAAATCCGTTTATATCTCTTATTAAGTCTAATTCTAGCACAATCCTAAATATACAACATATATCTTTTTTGTACTAAACGCATGAATTTCAAATTAAGATAAGTCTAAATATAAGCATTAGCTAATCTCAGAATCACGATGATTAATTAATGAATAAATTAAGATAAGTCTAAATATAAGCATTAGCTAATCTCAGAATCACGATGATTAATTAATGAATAAATTAATCACTAAACCTCTCTTTATACATTAGAATTATTGCGAATTTTAAAGCCTGGTGGATGGATCGAGGATATAGAATTTGATATGAAAATCACAAATGCTGGTCCTAACACAAAATTCCTTCTTGACGCATGTAAATTTCCTGCAATGTTATTTATTCATCATTATTACTTATTAAGTATACTCTATAACAGATAAACATATCGAATTTTCTCAGGTTATCATTCTGGAAAGTGCTCATTGTTATTGTATAAACCAAATTTTTGGTTACTTATGTAAATCCTGATAAATTTCGGATAAAGATTTAATCCTAATTGTATTCTGCTTCTAATTTTAATAAAATGCTAAAAGGATTAAAAGCTGGATATTACTTATAAGATATTGGTGCCGACAGAAAAAAGTATCAATGTTATCGTGCAATTATGATCATACTTTACAAGTCATGATTAGCTAATTGTGTTTATTCTGAATGGTTGTTGTGTTTAGGTAATAACATACAAAAAATCAAAAGAAAATAATTAGAGTTTGCACGATAATTTTTACCCATAAGTAATCAGAATCTTATGAAAAGAAATTTATATAAGTTTTGATCCAGAAAAATGAGCATTCTCCAGAATGATAACCTGGTGTATGATTTTTTGAAAAAAATTTATAGAGATATAGTCTTCAAGTAATCGCTAACAGACAATAATCCTTCGTTTGATAGTGTTTAGTTACCTTCGAAATAAAGGTGTTTGTTCTGAAGGCTTTTACAAAAATGCATTAAAGTTATTTAAAGATAATAATCTTGAATATCAAGTTGAAGAAAGAATAATATGTTTTGCTGATTATGATGTGGTAAGTCTTTTTTTTTTTGATAAAAAATTATATATATATATATTTTTATAAACATATACATTTTTTAATAACGTATTGTAAATATTTGGTAGATAAAACAGAAATACATGACCTTTTTTAAAGTTGTAAAACCCATGATCATTGAATATACAAGCATTAATTACGAAGAGTACGATGAAGTACTTGATAAGGAATGTAAATGATGTTAAAAAAACATCTATGAGAAATGTTTTGATGAGAACTATTTCCGAGTGAAATTCCTA